TAATTTGAGCAAAAATAATTAATCTGAGAACATAAATTACACATTTAGAGGTTTTTTTTTCCTGTTAATGAAACCTGCCAGGCCCTGCAGTACAGCAGCACGTGGCTACGTCTTAACTTGATATTTATCAGACAGTTTGAAAACTATCTAAATTCAATAACGGGCAGGTTTGGGTAATTAACACCAGGAAATCACTAACTAACCCCAGCTGATTAATTAGTTCCCTCTACCATTGACTTTCGGGTGCAACCATCGATTCCTTACGACTCATACTCTCCCTTTAAAAGATGAAGCCGGTGTGTGAGCTGCAGAGAGCGACTCACTGGTGAATTCAGGACTGAACTGGCAACTGTAGCAGAAAAGATAAAACTCCTGTCCCAGATAATGAGTGAGCAGTGAGAAAAGACAGAGCAACAGATTAAGATGGATGCAAAACGGCACCACATGAGGACTTTTTTAATCTTCTTGTGTTTGGAGTTATCTGAACGAAACATGACCCGATACCGGAGCTCGACCTGGAAATGACCCCGAGTCAGTGAAGTTCTCAAGACCACCTCCTTCTCCTGACATCAACGGCTCCCTTCTCTCCATCTTCCTCCTCCTCTGCTTCCATCTTATCTCTGTACTCCTTTCTTTCACATCATTACCTCGGTTGCTTTGCATCTTTTCATATCCTCACTCAGCTCATCTTTCTCTCTCTTCTCTTCCTTTCCCCGCAGTGATTGTCATCTCTCCTCTCCATTACATTCATCCCTTTTTATTCTCCTCTGTGCTTCTTCTCTCGCTCTTACACTCATCTGCAACTTTTTCCCTCTCTGTCACTCATCAGTCAGCTGTTGCCTTTCTTAACTTCACATCATCTCTTCTCTCTTCCTCCATGTATTCACACTTTATTTCTAACCTCTTTCACTTTCTCCTCTTCACACTGTTTCAATCATCAAACTTCTCTCTGCATCAGTCACAGAATATTGACTTCCTGCTTTCTTTCACATCAGTCTCCTTTCTTTATTCCACACAATAATATCATAACTGGGGTTGCAAAGGATTGGAAAATTTCCAGGGGAAGAAAGGCTAGGGAATTTTTAAATTTTAACACAATGTCAAAATAAAAATCCTACCTTTTAATAGTAATCTTATTTTGAGGTGAACGCACATGCAGGATGGAGCAGTGGTTAGCACTGTCACCTCATAGCAAGAGGGTGGGGGAGCCCCTTTTTGTGGAGTTTGCATGTTCTCCCCGTGTCAGCGTGGGTATCCTCCAGGTGTTCCAGCTTCCTCCCACAGTCCAAAGACATGCAGGTTAATTGGTGACTCTAAATTGTCCGTAGGTGTGAATGTGAGTGTGAATGGTTGTCTGTCTCTATGTGTCAGCCCTGTGATAGTCTGGTGACCTTTACCCCGCCTCTCGCCCAATGTCAGCTGGGATGGGCTCTAGCCCCCCCCCGCGACCCCAACAGGATAAGTGGTTACGGAAAATGAATGAATGCACATAAAAATTATTTGTTTTGTGGCATGTTTTGGTCAAAAGTATGCCCATCCATCCATTTTCATCCGATTATCCAGGACCGGATCCTGGGGTCCCAAGGCATTTTCAGATGAGATGAGATGTAATCCCTCCAGCATGTTCTGGGTCTACCCTGAGGCCTCCATTAGGACCTGCCTGGAACACCTCTAACAGGAGGCGCCCAGGAGGCATCCTGATCAAATGCCCTAACCACTTCAACTGACCCCTTTTGACGCAAAGGAGCAGCAGCTCTACTCCGAGCTCCCTCCAGATGTTGGAGCTCCTTACCTTAGGCTGAGCCCAGTGACTCCACGACAGAAACTTATTTTGGCCACTTCTATCTGCGACCTCATTGTTTAGGTCACTACCCAGAGCTCATGACCATAGGCGAGGGTTGGGACGTAGACAGACCAGTAAATCGAAAGCTTCGCCTTCAAACTCAGCTCCCTCTTCACTACAACTGCATGGTGCACATGCTGCGCCAAACCGCTGATCCATCTCACGCTCCATTTGACCCTCACTCACGAACAAAACCCAGAGATACTTGAACTCCCTCGCTTGAGGCCCATTTAACTGAATTTACAATTCACTGCAATCAGCAGCACACTCTTCCATCACATGTGCAGATCATCTGCCAGTATCCCATTAAATACAACCCTCCTCACGCACAGTGAATTCTCCCATCACATATACAGCCCACACTACCGTCAACACCCCTGCACTGTCTGAGCCAAAGGACGACATGCCTTCAGGACAATTTTGATTACTGGAGTGACTATTTAATATTTCTGATATTTCAGTTAACAAGCAGACAGTTGGCTCAAGCAAAACACAAAGTTTATAACTTGATAATTTAACAACATAATTTCCATTTCCAGTCATTCTTTAGTGTAAAACTTTTGTTTAAGAAATTAGTTTTTCACTTAAAACCCTACATTTGCTCACAGTCCACACTGCCGGCTCACCACATGGCACATTTCACACTGTATGTATTTGACAAATTAATGGATTTATGTGGCAGATCAATGGATTATGTCTGATTATAATACAGTAAATACAGCCTGAGCAGATAATCCTAATATTGTATTTCTGTTTCATTCTGTTATTTCTCATAATTCCAATAAATTCCCATTAATTCCCATGGAAAGTTTCCATCTTAAATATTCACACAAAATTGAAACCCTATTGTCTCAACTTTGCTCCGTCTTGACAAAGTAACCAAAAATATATTTCTGATCTGCACTTTCTCAAGTTTCTGTGTGAATTCAGACTGAACACAACAAATATCCCACACATCTACTGCTCTTCATTTATGTCATTCGTCTTTGCACAAATGTAAGTCAGAAAGTCAGGAAGTCTGATGCACCAGAGTTACTTTATGATGTGTGTATGTTTAAGAATATTGAATTTATATACATTTACTTTTAGGTATAAAGAGATATTTTGCTGTTTTACTTTTACAAAAGGCTCGACAGAAAATAATTCCAACAGTTGCTCTCGAGGATGGACGCCGAGTGCAACAAGTAAAACAATAACCCGGTTGAAGTCAGTGTTACTGCAGACACTTTACTGTGCCTCTCTATCTTTGTTCTTCCTTCACAATCTGAAAAAGAGCACTCAGCTGCTCTGAGGTGGGCTGAGGGAAAAAGAAAGAAAAAGGAACAATTTGGGGAAGAAGAAACAAAACATTAAAAGGTAAAGAGGATGACAGACAGGGGCATGAGAGGGACTACATATCTGTTCTGTGTTTCTCTCTGATGTATCTATTGTTAAAAAGCTCTCCTGAAAGCGAATGAGTAGTGTGTCTGTTGGTGTTGAAATTATGGATCTCAAGAGGGTTAGAAGCACATGGGCAGAAGTGCTGTGACTGCTTTGTCAAAACTAGAAGGTTGAGTTAATTTTACACATCATGTTCAGATAAAACAAACCTCCAGATGTTTTGGAGTGCATCTAATAACCATTTTCATGATCAGTTTATCTGCAGATTGATTTTTCGATGAATTGTTTGGTCATAAAATTGAGAAAAATGTCCATTATAATTTCTTACAGCCCGAGAGGCGATGCATTAATAGAGCTTATTTTACTTGACCAAGCATATCAAATGTAGAGGAGCAGTGTGTAAGATTTGGGGGACTGAATGGCAGCCAGTGGTGAGGACTGCAGGTTACAACCAGCGGAAACGTCTCCCTGTTTGAATTCCCTCAGTGTTCATTGTACAGGAGGTATTCATCGGGAGCTGAATTATCTGCAGAGGTCGCTCTTAGGGGCCGAACACTTGCTGCATCTTTAGCTGCCAGGAAAGTGCCAGGTCGGGCGCTGGGTGCTACTCTGTGCCAACTTGCATCTGTGGTTGCTAAGCGACCATACCCAGCACGGTATCATAGCCTACTGACCAGAAATCTTGAGTGCAGAGCTGATTATTTTCAAGTTTTTTTTTATAAGAGTGTATTATGCCAAAAATATTGTCAGTGGGACAGATGTAAAGCTCCGAGTAGCCCTGCACTAAAGTGATTGACATCTCCTCCATATTAACCACAGACTGATATTTATGGAAGAAGGGAAAGATATCTGCCGGCTGTGATTGGTTGTTCCTTGTCACATGACATGCAGTGAGCACTGCCGCTTTCCAAAACTTTGCAAAGCTGTTGCGCCCTGAAAAATAAGTGCTCAGGAACCTGTGCTCGCTGCTCTGGCATCACTCTGGCATTTGAGTATGACTGTCACGCGTCTACGTTGAAAACAATTGATTTGAGGGCACAAAAAATACAACTATTCTTGTTTTTAGGAAAAGAGACTTAAGAACAAATCTCTTTCTCCCGCTAAAATCTACACACTGGACCTTAAAAGATGTTCAGTTTCTCATCATATGTGATAACAAAAAGCATCAAGCCCTCACATTTGAGAGTATATGTGTATATTAGCTTGTCTCTAAGTAGTCATGATGTGCAGGGGACTTGCATATGAGGAGTATTAATAACTAAACAGGATGCAAAAGAGCCTTTTTTCAGTTTTGTTCCTCTCTGTTTCCAGGCTTTTAGAGTCGCCCTCATCTATTCGTTTGTTCATCCATCACATGCAATACCTCACATCCAATTTCCAAAAACTGTGAAGCTAATACATTCCTGCACATTTCCAAAATTACAAAATCCAAGCTTCATTCAAGTGCCTCATTTTGTGTGCACCCATCTTTTTCTTCTCCTCCCATCTTCTCTGACTCTCCAGTACGGCCAAAAAAGCCAGAATATAGCCTTTAAGTGAAATATTTGTAACAGAGTTGCCCAGAGAAGAACTGCATAATTTGCTGGGGATGACAGGTTTACAGCCGCCTTGCTCTTTCTCGCTTGCCTCACTCCATCAGTGTCCACTTCCAGGGCTTTTCTTGCACAGCCTCCTTCACTTTCTTTCTTCGAAATCTTTCCCATTCTGCTCACTCCTCTTTTATAAATCTCCCTCTCTCTCTCTTCCTGTGAACTGTTAGCCAGGCAGGACGTCTTACCTGGGTTTGCGGCCCCTCTGTTTTGGCGCTGAGGGGGCTGGGGTCTTGCTGTTGGCCTGTCTGTGGTTCTTGCCGTGGCTCTGGGCACTGTGGGACTGCCCCTTAGTGTGGACACCTGCCGAAGGAGGAGGTGCTGTTGGAGGAAACATGAGAGGACATGAGTCAGTTGAAGCATGAGCCTCTTCAGGGCTTGGTGACACTTTAAATATAACATTAGCCACTCTCGACCCGGACATGATTTCACACATCAGTTTTCCATTAAACTGACTGATGCTGGCCACAAGCCTCTCCAGGGTGCAGGGAAACAAACCTCACTGCAGACACCTGGGGTCGATTCACAGCTTTATAGCTGCACAGGTGACTCCTAATGCTCGGCTTGCTGAGGCTAATAGGTATGTTACGAACCAAATAACAGGACAAATTGAAATGTTGACCTGGTGATAATGCTGGATGAAGTTAAGGGGTATCCAATGTGATTACAGTTCATCCAGAGGGGGACATGAATGTCACAAATCAAATTTCATGGCAATCCATCCAGTAATTGTTGAGACCTTTCACACCAAATCTCATGATGGCACCGGAGGACAAGTCAAGGGATCACCACAGTCACTACATTTTACCCTCTGGACACTATGAATGTCTGTACCAGCATTCATAGCAATCCATCTAGTGGATACTGATATACTTCACTGGATAAAAGAAAAGTTTGCCTGCTGATGGCGCTAGAGAAAAAGGGATCACTGAAGTCTTTAAAATTCATTCTGGAATCCAGCAGCCTGAGAACCGATTAAGTCCTGTGTCCACAAAGTGTTTTGTTCTCAGTGCTGGCATCTTTTTTAATTGTTCCCAATGAAGAGAGAAAAAGCGCAGCGCCCAATATCTTTTTCCAGAGCGCTTTGGCTTTCGTTTTTTTTTTTCCTTCCAATTTTGCGATAACAATATTCTTGACGCTATGACAAACATTTAGCTCTGCTGATCGGACCAAAATCTGCAAAGGGAACTTTCCAAAATATACTTCTATTTCTATACATGAACACAATTTTAAATTTTTTCATAGGATTTATTTTATGCGCCTCCAGATAATGTTTCCTAACAGCTCAAACCTTTGTTTTAAATGTAAAACACACAAAGGTACATTTTTTCATGTGTTCTGGTCGTGTCAGTGACTCCAAATATTTTGGAAAGAGGTTTGTTCTGTAATTCAGGAGGTCAAGGGCAAACCGTTCTCACTGACTCCCTCGTTCAACTTGTTGCACCATATTTCGGACAATTTCTTTGTTAAGGATCAAATCTCTATTGACAATCCTTTTAAACTTGGCTAAAAAGTAAGTCTCACTGCAACGGTTTGCTCCACAGGCCCCGACAGTTGACATGTGGTTATCGCAGATATTAGCTGTGCTTTCTCTGGAGAAACTGATGTATGATCTCAAAAATAAATAATAAAGTTCTGGCAACTTGAGAAACAATTACACTTTTTCCTCCAAAAACTCTGACTTGCTGTTCCCTGGAGGGCAGAAACTGATTGCTCCAACTGTCAATGTCAATGTCACATTGCTGTACAATCTCTTTTGTAAAACTTATTAGCCAATTCATTCTTAGTTGTAATAAACTGCACCGTTTGTTGGGGTGTTTTTTTCCCCCTATGGATATTCTTTTCTATACTTTTCTGTCTTTATGTCAAGGTGTTGTTTATGTTGGTTGACTTTGTTTGTTTGTATGTGTTTTATTTGAAAAATCAACTAAAAAGAAAAGAAATAAAAATATACGTTATAATTAATTCAAGAAAATAGAACTGCAACAAAATAAGTGATATATTTTTACAGTTTCCTTCAAATATTCAATAAAAACTAAACAAAAATTATCTCTCATTTCTTTAGTTTGTGAACAACAACAGTAACTCAGAGTGAGATTCAGATTCTGTTACAATATTAATAGTTCAACTAAATAAAATCTACCACAAATTACACATTTAAACAGCTCCCAAATACGTAAAACGTCCCCTGGGATCTATATATATAAATCAACAGGTGATTTCCTTCTTTAAGTAAAATCCTAAATGATTGAGTTGTGTTTTCTCCACCTGGACCTTTATGCTCTGCCATTTCTCCTCTAATCATCACGCTGTAACCTGTGACAGGCTGTTATGATACCACAACTATCACACATTCACATAAATGAAGTTTTTACACGAAGGTTTACATTACCAAAGGTTAATGACAAAATCAGAGAGAGGGGAGGGAGAGACGCTGTGCTGCTGCCAGAGGAGCCGCTGAATGAGTTCCCTCTGAGCGGTAAGTCACTAAAAGAGTCTGAGAAGTCCGGGGCTGTTCATAAAACAATCAGGACGCCACAGTTTATTCCACACTACTGAAGCTGCTCCTCTGTTTAGAACCACCGTGGAGTCAGTAATAATTTCGCTTTCAGCCATGTTTGTTGTTGCCATGGGTAACAGCATGACGTCAATATGTCAACAAGTATCACAATATAAATTTTTCATATGATATTAAAAATGATACCGGCACTTTCGTGAGCAAGATGATATGGCACACCCCTTGTGACATCACTGCTGCTCCTTTAGCTTCTGTATGAGTCAGAAACCATCACAACAAATTTCATAATTCATTTCATAACTATTCATTTTACATTAAAACAATTTGGAGCCCCACACAGGCAAACACAGGGGTGAGCAGTGAGAAAGATCTTAGTATAAGGTGTTGGTAAATTGACACTGGGGAGAAAACGGTAAAAGTCCAGGTAAAATTTGAAGTAACACTTGTATGGAACTTTTACTTCTATATTTCTTGTTGCAGAGTGAACTGCAGCATGTTGGAAAAGACATCCACTCGTTGTTGTTGGCATGAATTTCTGAGGTGTCCATTGGCCTAACTGGGACATATTAAAGAATTGCATTTAGGTTCACAGGGAAGAAGTGGCTCTATTAAGAGGCATCTGATGAGAATTTCTTAAAACATATATGGAAATATGGAAAAATGTTGGTTACTATGCAAACCTGATCATTCTCTCTTGTATAAAAGGAAACCCTGACCATGTCCTTTTAACCTTTGCATAATTATCAGCACTTCATTAAAGCTTTTAGTTATGTAATAATACATACATAATTCATATATTCCATAATTTTACATGTTTTAAAGACATTTGGCATCATCTTGCTTCATCATGAGGAGTGGCGTCGTCAAACATGCATTGATGCAATTTTTGATTCTCACAAGAAATCTATTTTTCAGCTTTAAAAGAATGCTAATGCATCTGCCCCCCCCCCCCTAATCAAGGTAGAGTTTGCTACCTTGATTAAGAATACAAAGCCTCTGTGTTTTTGTTTGATAAGGACAGGTGTAACTTACATCTTGCACCTACACACTGGCCTAACAGCAGCTAGCAGCAGGCAAGCGGCAAATGATAGTTTATTGGACCCACTGATGTCCTGTTCAATGAACAGTGCTCCAAAACTAGGAGCACTTGAGACGGTCCATTTCAGCAGCGTTTAGACACACTGACGGGGAAAACAAAAAAGCAGCACGCCCGTAAACGACACCAAAACGTAATACAGAGTCTCAGCACAGTTTTTCATTTAAGACCTATTTAGGTACAAACATTAACCCGCTAGTGTGGCGGATAGCCCTCTGAGATTTACTCGCCAAACGAGGAAAAGTCTACCTGCATTTGGTGCTTGGCTGGTGTTAATTTCAGACTCCAGGAGAATCACTGCACCCATGTCTTAAAATGGTTGGGAAAACCCTGCTGTTTCTTTTGGCATCATGATGGCTTAAATGTTGGTGACTATCTCATGTAAACGAACACACATGTAAACACAACAGGCAATATCAAGGTCAACACGATAAGCGAGGTCATGTCCATATATTGTATGATTAGTCAATAATGTAACTTTCATGACAGGCATAGAGGGGTCTCTGCTTCCGGAACAACGCTGTCCTCATATCTGTAGTCTTGCTCACCAGACCTTTCTCAAGAAAAGAAAGGTCTGGCTGGGCCGACTCTCACTTTAAGATTGTCGGAAAAAAAAAAAAAAAAAAAAAAACACCCCGGCTGCTTGTATTTCTTTCAACCAACCACAATCGTTCTGGGCGGTGCCACAGCAACGGTGCGCTTGCAAAAATATTGCCCGGGGATAAACAGGTTTTCGTGTAACACGCCCACAAAAATATCACCTACAGGACGCGAACCATGGCAGAAAAATGGCTACATCCCCGCAAGATCAAACACCACAAAAGTTAGTAAAGGACGTGTTGAAAATGGTTGAAAACTGCTACACAACCGGAGGTGGTAGGGCGGGACTTCAGCGGGTGGCTCGTTCCGCCCAATGAGAGGCTGATCTATGCAGCGAACTTCCGCCCACTCAGACTCTCATATCTGTGGTAACCACCGTATGAGAGCAGTGCAGTGCCGGTGATTAGCCAGACAATGGGACACACACAGTTAGTGTTTCTCAAAGTCAAGGATCCTTCCTTGGTGGGATGAGTCCTTCAGGAAGCTGTGATAATTTTGGCACCCTTTAATGTTGTTGCACAATTTTAACAAATGTAAATACTATTTTCAAAAACACGTGACTTTTAGGGAGAATACATTTCTGGAATATACTTAAAAAGACAGGTAGACTAAATCAAACTTTTGTGGCACTTATCACTCTATCACTGCTGTAAATGATTAATTTAAAAACTTTTACGTTTTATCTTAATCACGATATTTTAAAAATCTCATTATTTGGCAGTGGACACATTGGAAAGTGTAAATTATGAGGTTTCGGTCAGTATTTTTTGATGTTTGTATGAATAAAGACTCCTGGAGATGTCAATCCAAATAAAAGACATATTTATCTAAATCCTGCCGAGCTCCAAAGAATTGTGGGTACTTTATACCTGCTGAGGATACACACATGCATCCTTGAAAATTCTCTGAATGAAGGACTCTGTGCCCAGTAGCATTTGAAGGATCCTTGACCTCGGAATAGTCATTAGGCGAGATTTGATGACGTAGCTTCCTTGAAATTCAGTCATTTAAGTATCCCTCCTTGACTTTAAGAAACATCCAGTGACTCACATGCACACACCGCTGGACCGGCTACTACAACAAGCTCATTTGACAACACACACACACACACACACACACACACACACAGAGGGAGCGTGACTTAATTCTCTGATCAGGACGTCATTACGCTGCTTTATCTTTACATAGTGAATAGTGGTTTGCTGCCATTTCATTGCTCTTAATATCATATAGAGCTCCTCTAAATGAACATCTAAACATCCTCCCACACAACCGCCTTTCACTTCACACAAACTCCACTACACACTCCACATTGAATAAACACACTGCAGCCACAGGCAGAGCATACCTTGATTCGTGGGTACAGGAGGTAGGACTTTGACCTTCGGTTTCCTTCCTCTTTTGCCAGGCACCTTAACAGGTACCTGAGCTGGTCCGGGGGCCACTGTGGCCCCTGACGTTCTCCCCCCTGCCACATTCATCAGCTCTTTCCTTCCCTCCTTCCCCTTGGTCCTACGCTCCTTTCGCTCCTTCCCTTCCTTAGGCTCCTTGCTCTTCCTCAGTGTGACCACCGTCGCTACTTTCTCCTCTTTTCGTTTCTTTGGTTTGCTGCTTTCATCCACCTCCCCTCCTCCTTTCTCCCATTCTCTCTTGTCCTTTTTCTTCCGTTTCTTCTTCACCCTGCCTCCTCCTCCTCCTCCTCCCCCTCCATCATCCTCCTCACTCAGGGAGGAAGGAGGTCGAGGGGCTCCTCCGGAGTGCTTAGCGGCGTGGGCCACTGCCGCCGCGCAGTGATTGGACGTCGCCGTGCTGCCCACAGGGGTGAGGAGGCGGAGCTGATCCTTGGGGCCCACGACCAGGTGTCCCCGTGGGATTGTAGGGACTGTGGTTTGTGCGTTGCTCTTTTGGTCCGAGGCGGAGGAGGAGGAGGAGGAGGCTGCAGCGGAGGCCGGAGGTGGCGTGTGCTTCAGGACACCAGTGAACATCTGAAAAAGAAAAATGAGTCATAAATTATGGTGATCACTATTACACTGATCTCGTTCACTGAGTAACTGAAGCTCGATCTACTTAACCATCTTTCGCCCCAATAAATGTCAAGCTACTGTCCATGGACACTTCCTGCACAGATGTTTCACATTAAAAGCTTCCCAGCAGCTAAAGGGGAATAACCCCTCCCTTTCCTGGTGACTTTTAATGTGAAACATCTGCACAAAGTGTTGAGTTTCGTTGAGAGTGGTTTAACACTGATCGAAATAAATGACAAAGTGGAAGCAAATAAAATGAGCCAATGAAAACAGCATTTCTGTTACAGAGAGACAATGAGAGCAACAGAGTGGTATCACATGACTGATGTTGTCCTAATGGATATCAATGCTGTGGAAATGTATATTATACTTTATTTTCTGTGTGAGTCATTATATCAGCAGTTCCTCACACGATCAATGTTTGTATCACCAGGACTTTAGTTGGCTACTATTTTTTGTATGTTAGTTATGTCTGTTACTTAAATACTAGTTTCCATTTGAGAATTCACAGCTATCATCATTCAAATGAGCATTTATATTTGATATTTTCATAAAAACAATGGATCCAATGACGAGGCGTAATATGAAAAGCTCAAAACCAACAGATGATTATTAGGGCTGCCCCCGATAGTCGATCAAATGTTATTAGAAAGGTCATTAGTTGGAAATATTTCATTGGTCGCTTATGCCTGGTTCACACTACACGATATCAGCCCGATTATAGCCCGACGCAGCGTCGTGCGGTGTTGGCCCAGATCGTGAACGACAATGAGTATCATACACGATAATCCATCGTTTCATCTGGTGTAGTGTATCATAGTAGATGACAACCGACTGTTCACGACTGCTCCCGTCACTTTGACCAACAGAAACACAGAGCGATCTGCTGCCATGGACAACAGTACAGCAACAACACCCCAGCCTTTCGATATTTCCTCTAGGGATGTTACCACACAGAGTAAAAAAGGAAAAATGATGGTGTGAAACAACAGACAATCCTGACAATCACAGTAGGGTTTTGTTTGCACACTCTAGAGGATGAAAAATCTCAAAACTGCAAATCCTGGTGAAATTTGGTTTATATTTAAGAGTTCCATCAACCTCTTCAAATAGTCGGTGAAAAAACTTTCACTACTGAAACAATTCTAAGCGTCTTTTCACCAGTGACCATAGGTGTTTCTTTCAACGGAAAAATGTCCCGGGGCGGGACTTAGCGAAGGGTCAAATGTTATAGTGTAAATCTAGTTTTGAGAATATGCCTCAGTTTATGCTGGCCCAATCATGAAGGATGTGACATTCACTTATTCTGACTGACTGTGCCTTGATTCATGCAACTGATTACAGGCAAACAATGCCATTTCTCTCACTGGGCTTGAATGTATTTTCACCATCTTGACTGTTTTCAACTTAAACGTATATTACTTAAGATACAAGTGAGTTGATTAAATGTTATTTTGTTATCACCAATTGTTCCGCATCTGACTCTGAATAAAATCAGACACAGATCTCTGAGTAATAAATTTGAGAACTCCTGGTATATAACATGTTGCTGTTGTAATGCCATCTATTTAAGTTGAATTTATCATGAGATTCAAGAACTCTGTAGAAATTCCTTTTTTGTCATATTCTGAGATGGCGGCAGACAGAGAGGGGGTGAGATGGGACACTGTGGAGAGACTGATATAAAACCAAAGGAAAAACAAAGGAAAGATGAAAGATATAGAGAAAGGATCGAAACTGGGGGAGAAGGATAAAAAGAGAGGAAAAAGGAAAAAATTGAGGATTTAATGAATCGTGGACACCAAACAGTGAAACACGGTGAAGAAGTACACTTGTGCCCATCATTCTGGGCACGTGCTGTTTGATGTGTGAATCACGCTGTGACTAAAAACTTAGTATGCAGAATATTCTTCCATCAACCCCAGGACGTTTCAACTCTTCCCAAACAGCTGAACCACAAAGAGACTCAGAGTATTAATACTATTACAGGGTTCGACATTAAGAGAATTAGAATAGAATAGAATAGAATACAATACAATAGATGTTTATTGTCCACCAGGGTGGAAATTTGTCTTTGGCTCACCAAACACAAAAGACAACATAATAAAAAGCAGATGAACAGTCAGTAAAACAAACATAAACACTTATAACATTAAATCTGTTAAATGTCCGTCTCTTTAAAACTCATCAGTCACATTGTTGAGTTAAGAATACAAATGGCGCTTGGGAGGAAAAACTTCTTGAAAGAGGCCGCCTTCTCAATGAGATTCTTTCAAAAATAAAGGCTAAATAGATTTAATACATCACCATACCCCTTTGCCAGCTAAATGTTACAGTTCAACAAACATCCTGATTAATTTGCCCCTTTTAGTTCAACATTCTAGAAAACCCTCAAACAGTATTTGTTGTATATGGATTTGTAGCAGACGAAAAAAGTGTATATTTAATGAATTCAGTATAAACCGAGAGCTCTGATGTTATGCGATGCTACGTGACAATCAGATGCTAGTTTTCTGTTTGGACACAGTCCCCCAATCCCAAATGGATCCCTTACAGACTCATTGACTCAAGCCCTAAGCCCTTACAGACCAATTCCATTTCTTCCCCTTAGCCCTTGTCTTGGCCCTTCCCCTTGGTTTTGCGCGTTCACAGGGACACCACTTCCTCTCACGTGAATGTGCAAAACCAAGGGGAAGGGCCAAGACAAGGGCTAAGGGGAAGAAATGGAATTGGTCTGTAAGGGCTTAGGGCTTGAGTCAGCGAGTCTGTAAGGGATCCATTTGGGATTGGGGGAGTGTCATTGTGTTCTGCTCAGGAAAAGCTGCTGAATCAAGTGAGACACCTGGTAAAATTTGGTATCATGATCTGGTGTTTGGATTAATATCAAACCAAGTTTTAACTCTGGCTTTTAACTCTTGCATTTGGCTGTGTCATCCAGCTAGTTTGCTGTCTCTGTCAGGTAGATGTCCGGTATTCCCCCAACTTCCAGCAGGAAACGGCACTTCAACATAAAAGCTCTGTGTCGGAAATCTACCGTACTTTAGGGCTGCAACTAACGATTATTTTCACTGTCGACTAATCTGTCAGTTATTTCTTCGATTAGTCGACTAATCATTGTATCGAAAAATGTGTTAAAATGTTGAAAAATGTCGGTCTGTCTCTCCCAAACCCAAAAACTATTTCATCTAATGTCTTGTTTCATACTAATGCCAAAGGGTTTTAGTTCACCGTTATGGGAGAGTGTGTAAAGCTGCCAATATCTGAACGTAAGAAGTAAGAAGTATTTTTCTATGAAAAAAGACTCAAACCGATTAGTCGACTACTAAAATAGTCACCGATTATTTTAATAGTCGATTAGTCATCGATTAGTAGACTAATCACTGCAGCCCTACCGTACGTCAAAACAAAGTGTGCTTTTTGCAAACTTGACAAGTACGGTCCTTTCAGATTGGACCCACAACCCACTTTTGGACAACGACCCACCAGTTGGGAACAACTGCAAGAGACTGTACCATACATTTACAATGATATATTCTCTGTTAATGTGTCTTCATTTACTGAAGTGTCACAGCTGCGTTAAGTTGCATTAAACTGCCTTTAAATTGTAGGTTACAGTTTTTACATTTTGGCCATTAAAATGTACTTTGGCCACCAAATTTAGGGGTTTGGCAGCTCTTGTGGCCAGTGATTAAAAAATATCCCCTACATCTGGATAGATGACGTGCTGCTACATTTCACCACACAATCACAAAACATATCAGTTTACAGAGGAAAGGCTGAATGAGATTTGTGCCGCTTCTGGCTAGTGATTCAACATCTACTCTACTCGCGGTGCAGCCAGTGTGAGACAGTGTCGTGCTCTACATCAGTGCTGCTGCCATGTGACTGTGCTCAAAGTGTTTTACATGAATCCAGTAAAGCAGAGGCCCTCAGCAGATGTATACTAAAGCCCTCAGGGGAGTTAAGAAAAGATATTACTGCCTCTGCTCAGTCAGTATGCTGCTGTTCTTTATCCATTACTAAAAAAGAAAAGACTGAAACATGACACTCATCACTTCCTGTATACCAGAGATATTTTCCCAGAAAAAGCCCGGCGCTTAGAATAGTAAATGTTGCTGCTGAAGACTTTAGACAGTAATGAACCAACTGTGGCAAAACACTGAGACTGTCAACTGTGTCATTCTGTTAGGAGATACATCAGCATTAATCATATTGCATCACTCTTCGGCTGAGACACACTATCAGTGTTGCAACTTCATACTGTAGTTGTAGGTTTGTTAATAATGTCTTGATCTTTTTCTGGTCGTCCTTTATGCAGGAACAGCACTGGCACTACAATGTTTGCTTAGATATTAAAGCTTAAAGGGACAGTTCACCTCAAAATCAAAACATTTTCTTCCTCTTACCTGCAGTGCTATTTATCAGTCTAGACTGTTCTAGTGTGAGTCGCCGGGTGTGAAAGATATCGACCATACAGATGTCTGCCTTCTCTCAGTTATGATGAAACTAGATAGGACTCGGCTTGTTGTCCGAAAAGCGCCAGAAAATGCATTTGAAAAACTCAACGTCAATGTCTCCTTCCAGAAAAGTGAGTAGGTCACTCAAGATAATCCACAGACCTTGTTGTGAGCAGTTTCATGCAGGAACTGTTTTCTTTCTGCCGAACTACACCTGCCAACTGTATCACTGCGGACAAGGAGGTGTACATCTACTTACGGGCAAGAAGTTGCTAGCTCAGTGGTGTTTAGTGAGTTTGCAGTAGATGTACTCTTCCTTCTGCGTCGTGATACAGTTGGCAGGTGTAGTCTGGCAGAAAGAAAATAGCTCCTACACGGAACTGCTCACAACAAAGTCTGTGGATTATCTCAAGTAACAGGGTCAAGCAAGGTTTCGAGAAAGAGACATTGGGTGTTTCTCAAAGTTAAGGAAGGATCTTCAAGCGGCTGACTTTCAAGGATGCT